AACATCACTAATGTGAATTTGGAAGTAATATTGTCTCCTGATGCGTAACTATGAGATTACCCAACGTACATGGAGCAAAGATACGCAAGGGTAGCTTACGGAACCAGATGCCGGCCAGACTAAGCAGTACTCTGGCCAAAGGGTTGTCAAAGCCAAAAGAAGAATGTGTCGATCGGAGGGGTCCACCTCCTGGTGCCCATGTGCACGCAATTCGGAGGTGTACGCCTAGCAGCAGAACTGCCAGGATGGAATTTAGCCTACCCTTACCTTTACAAGATACTGCCAAAAGTGGATGTATCAATGAATAGCTCCACTAACAGTGGGTGAGAGTTGTTTTGTTTCATATCGTCATCAACACTTGATATTCTCACATTTTCAATTTTAGCCATGGGGCACGTGGAGGTGTGTAATTGAGATCTTAATTCGCGTTCCCTAGTTAATAGTGAGATTGTGCCCCTTTTCATACATTTATTAGTCATCTGGATTTCTGCTTTTGTGAAGCACCTGCTTAACTCTTTAGCCCATTTTTCTATTAGAGAATCTTTTTCTTGATTCACAGGCATTCTTTATGAGCTCTTAATTAGTCCTATGTGTTGCAAATATCTTTTCCCACTCTGTGGCTTGCAATTTCATATTCCTAATGTTAATTAAGTTACTATTAAAGTTAATTTTTATGTAGTCAAATTGATCGATCTTCCTTTCTGGTTACGAAATTATGGCTGAAGAGTTGCTTCCATCTAGGATGCTGAAAGTCACATGAGAATGTCACTTGCACCCTAACCGCAAGAAAAAGTCAGAAAACCTACACAGTCACAGCTTCTTGAGACTGTCAGAGAGTGAAGGTCACAAGGCAGCCTGATCAGTTGAATTCCAAAGGTGACAAGCTCCTTCAGAGTCAGAACACATGAACTTTATCCAAGAGCAAGAGGCAGCACCATAAAAGCAGGAAAGAAGACAGTCAAAATGTTAATGAGTTCATAAAGGCAGAGTGTGAGCTAGCCTGACAGTTCAGAATCCCCAGGGGCTCTAGAAACAAGGGTTGTCTACGGCCATTCACAAGCTGTTTTCACAAGCCTCCATTGGATGCTCATAAGAAAAACAGGGAGAAGAGATGAGATGTAGAGTATCCCAGTTAGCACAGGAACAACACACCACCCAATTCCCAGACCTTTCTAGCAAAGTAGAAGCCTTGAGCTACTGGAAACCCTCCCGTTCCCATGACCAGGAAAAATGAACTGCCTCTGGGAGAGGGTAAAAGCCATCTGCCTCTGCAGGAGGGGCAGGAAGCCTCTCCCCACTATAAGCCTTGCTTCGAAAAACTGCTGAAAAACTGCTGGGGGAGTAGCAGGAATTCTTCTGCCATTAGTTTCAGGCAAAGGTGTGAGGGAAGGATAAAAGCAAACCCATACCCACCTGGGGCAGGGTGGGCCCAGACCCTGCACTGAAACAAAGGTCTGCTATCGCTGAGAGAAAAGCTAAGAAGTTGCTCCCACCCAAGACCCGCCTCAGATACAAATCAGAGTTTGGCTAAGTAGCAGTGGACCGCCCTTGGAGGAATTATAGCAACGACATAACTCAAACTCGGTTCTATCACCAAGTTGCTTGACTCGGTCCCTATACTGAGAACCTAACAGAAAAAAAGAGACATGCTCATCTCCAGGCATAAATCCTATTTACCTAAGTCTCTACTGTTTTTTTTTTTTTTTACATACAATATCTGGCATTCACTATAAACTTAGAGATAAAAAAGGGGGAGGGGAAACATTGTCAAAGTAATAAAGGGATCAAAACAACCAGACTCAGAGATGACCCAGATAACAGAACTATCAAAGACTAATTAATGTTAAAGGATCTAATGGAAAAGATGAACTATATGCATAAACAGATGGAGAATTTGAGTAGAAATGAAAACTTGTAAAAGGGGGTC